GCGGGGGGGGGGGGGGACGAAGAAATTTTTTCACAATTTTTTTCCCCCCCGAAATTACAACAACTCTCGATACGTGCTGCTAATGGATTAGTGAAGGCTCACGAGCGGACCCAAGTACGCTTCAATTTGCGAAACTCCGCAGTTAATGGACTCGCGCCATAGCGCGAGCTATTAAATTCCGTTACATGTACGCGGAAGCGATATATACAGCGAGAGATTTTGTTTACTGCGCAAATTAGCGCAGGTTAGTAACCGGACTTTATTCGCGCATTTAATATCGCCGGGCATTGCATCGCGCGCCGTATTACCGCCCGCTTCGTGCCGTCCCACGCACACTTATGTCGTCGACGCACTCATCCGATGACATTATTATCGAAAAGCGTTTTACCACGGCAGAGCACGTTCGCCCGCTTTTCGCGGATAAATGTTACGTGTGGCAGTTACGCTACCTGTGAGACCGAGGGAAAGCGCAGTACGAGAGAGAGCTCTCCACTCCGCTGTTAAGCGATAATAATAGGCGTTGCATATGTACTTGCAGAGAGATAGAGCTAGAGAGATAGAGAGAAAGAGAGAGATACGCCGGGATCGAGATACATATACGCCGGCGAGATGCCCAGGAGGAAACAATGCATCCCGCTGTGCACGTCAATGAGACCTGCGGAATCTCGTTAGCGCTCTAAATCCTCCTTTTTTAAGGCCACGATGCATTTTTAGGTTCAAGACACACGTGATATATTCGCGCACCGAGTTCGCATCTGGCGGCCATAATGTCGTTTCGTAATGTCTTCACTATTCAGATGAAGCATGTCGCGAATACAATGTGCGTCCGTAAAAAATATGTCTCGATAGAATAGAAAAAAATTCTTTTGCCATCCGTATAAAAGATCATTTATCAAAAATCCCATTATTTCTTATTGTATATGAAAACGATAATGTATCACTCTGCTATCTCGTTACGCCGATTGGAGAAGAGAATAACGTCGCTTATTCGTCGCCGCATTCTTCATTTCGTAATAACGCTCACGTAGACAATTCGCGTTGCACGCTTCGGCGCCAATTTCGCAAATCGGATCGCGCGCACGAGAAACGTGACGGTCGCTATGACGAGAGTACGATCTAATGCTCCTTAGAAATTCAAGAATGAACCGATACGTAGGGTACGCACGATCGAGCCGGGAATCGAAGATGGATCGTGCGCGTGGGGCAGGGGTAATGGAAGCTGGTCCGAATAAAATTACAGCAAATATTGTACCAACCGGCTACCTCGTATGAGCGATCGGATAATCGATCTTGGCGTTAACACCCAAGCACAGAATCTTTCGAGTACACGAGAAATTAGCGTATTCCGGCGCGGACGCGCGCGAGAAACGTTCGACGACGTCGAAATACCGGGGTGGAAAATTTTTTCGAAATTTTCCTTTCGCTCCGTGTTGGA